GCCATGAGGAAGTTCAGCTTAAAGACACGTCCCAGAGGTGTTTCTGGTCCCAGAGGTGTTTCTGGTCCCCACCTGTCGTTTTGCTCCTCAGCATGGCTTCATAAAAACACTGCAGGATTTCTCAAACATGATGAATGAGTCAGAGCAAGGCCTTGGACATGTTTTTATGAGAGTATAACATTATAACACGATATAAAACTCAAAAAAGTTGATTTTACATGATATTGACCCTTTAAAACGTAGTTGTTCCCTGTCAAAACTCATTTTTTGATATCTAGAATGCAGTTAATCATATGTTAAAATTGCTTGCCRTACAGGCAGAGCATATCTCTCCTGTGTGAACAACAAGCTGACAGAAGCATCAGACCAGGGCTGAAGTTTCCATCTGTGTGTTTTCAGCAGCRGACTCTGGATTTCTAAGCAGCTGGGCTGTCAGTAAAACATTTTCCAGGCTCAGGTATTCAACACAAGCCTGTGAGGCATGGGGGCACTGAGCCCAGGGTGAATAAAGCATTTCCTTTTCCTGATGTGCACGGAAAGAATGTTTGCAATGAGACAGTGAAACGGCTCGCACAACAGGAAGTCCAGAGGAATCAGCTGTTTACATCTGTCTCAGACTCCCAGCTCAGCCCAGTAACAGCATACATGTTATTTATTAGCCACAGGGTTGCACACACACACACACACACACAATGTTCCCCTTCATGCCCCAGTTGTGTGCTCTTATCTGCCCCCACCCTAACATTAGAGGTCTACATCCAGTCATGCATGTGGACTTAATTCTGATTAAAGCTCTATCATTACAATTACACAGCCACCACATGTTCTGACAGATCTGCAATGTGTGGGAAGCACTTCTCTAATTGAACAGCCGTGTCAGATGGCAGAACCTCTGTCAACATCTGGGCCCTACATGCTGCTGGTACAAGGTCACTTTGGATAATCATTGAGGGAGGCTCAAACAGAACGTGGGCCAAACGTTTGGAGGCTCGTTCCACTGCAGACACTCTGGACTGGGAGGGTTCAGTCTGCAGGGACGGCAGCACCAGGTCCAGCTGCTGAGACTAACACTTCTGCCAACACCGTCCCAAATTTATTAGTACATCATCGTGAAATTAACAATAAATGAGCTATATTGCAGTTTTAATAACTGCGCCATCCTTCTTTGTGCTGTCCTGTCCCCATCATTTCTGTCCAGTGTGAGCCATGATTGTCACCCGTGTGGTTTGGTTTATAAATTATAGTCTGCTTGCAAATAAACACAATATGAATGCAAACCTCAAAAACGACAATAATAAAGTCTGTTTTTGGTCCTTACCAAACAAGTGGACCAAAGGACTTTCTTGGTGTGAACACACCTTTAGTCATTAGCTGTGTTTTCATTACAAATGTGCCAAAACTTTGTCAATATTCTGTTCAAGTCGAAAAACAGTTTCGCAACTGCAGTGTTTCCATT